TTTATTCCACAACGTTTGCAAATTTTATCCAAGAACCAATAATGAAGCCCAAGAATTATCTCTGTATACAGAATATATCAATCTCAGTGCAAAATAATGTACTTGATGGACAGCTATTTTGAAGAGAACAAGAGACATTTCTGCAGCCATTGTTGATGTTGCTATTGTCTGGTTCTGAAGGCCTTTTTTGCTTTCATTATTCTGTTTTGCTCAGTTTTGTACTATTTTGTTTAATATGAATTCATTGTGTGTTACAATGGAGACAACTGTTTAGAAGAAATAAGAGACGTTGTGATAGCCACTGTTGATCTCCTGTTGTCTTGGTTTGAAATTTATGTCACTTACATTGTTTTCTTCTGATCTTCTTTGTTCTGTTTTGTTTTACCCTCATTAAAATACAAAAAAATCGTTCAAAAAACAAAAATTCATGTGATGATTCAACCTTAATTCTCATCAGTTTCCCTAGCTCTTTATAAACCATCCAGTAAAACATATCAAGGGCTCCGCATTAGGGAAAGAAAACAGTGAAGTGAACGGTGCTCTGCAATGCATTCTGCAAAACAACAATAACTATAACTGTATATATATGTAGCCCCAGTCCAAAGAAAATGTTTTTAAATAAGCAGACCACAATTTAGGAAGTCTCAACATTTCAGATAAGATTTTTTTTTATTTAAAAGGAAAAAAGAGAAAAAAGCAGAACAAAACAAAACAGTGTAAGGGTACAAGTAATTTAGAACTACAAAAAAAGAAAAACCAGTAAGCTATCACCAGTTAATAGATTACACGCTATCATCTTAGAAACGATGTTTCAGGTCACAGTATGAAAGCATACAAAGTGAACATTCAACCAGTGAGACTGCAAATAGTTGTGTTCAATAATCCAATCAAAAATATTAATATGGTCTTCTATTTAACACACCTAAACACCTTTGCTGTTCAGATAAGAACTGTTGATCAGAAGAAATTATCTTAATTGAAATTATTACAGGCTGTGTCTAAACTTTGATCAGGAAGACATATGTAGGTTTATCACTGGACATAGAGTCATGAAGACATTATGAGAAACACAATTTTATTTTATTATATGTTATGAAATGAATCTGGAATTCTTCCCAAACATAACAATCATATCCATTTTTAGAAGTATTTATGTATATACTGTTATTTTTGCATTACCTAAACATACTGTACCAACTTTTCACCATTATGCTGTATTTTTCAGGCACAGACCTGTGTGTAGTATCCAAAGCATTGTGTGGAGTATAGGATGAGCAGCACATATTTGTGGAATACACAAATACAAAATCGTAGTACTCTGAAGTTTAACACAAACATAACATAATTCCCATAAAGACTTATGAATAAGATGATTCCAGAAAGAAGAAAAACTCCACTAAACTAATGATAATACAAATCAGAAGCATGTATATTTCTAAAAATATTACTGTTCAACATTTAACAGTTCACGTGGTATGCATTTACATTTACATTGTTTTAAGTAAGATCTACTCTGGTTGTTCCTTACATATTTTCCATATCAGATTTCAAAACACAGCCATGTCCAGCAGTGCATATTTTCATCTTACATGGATCAATAGAGATAGTCCTCTGTTTCAAAAGATAATATATGTGTGACACTAACTTAGCCATTAAAAAGTGTGTGAGGGCAGATAAACCTCATCACTGTAAAATGGAAATATTTGGAAAATAATTTATTATTTCTCATCAAAAAGAAAGGACTGATGATTGGAAAACATGATGATAACATTGGAATAACTGCCTCTAAAGCTGGACTTTTCTGATATATAGAAAAAGAATGAAAAGTGAAAAAGTTGTTTGAGCAATAGAAGAATGCAAAGCAACTCACCACCAAAACAGTGTTTTGAGTTGCTTTGATTTCTGCCGGTGTCTGGGAAGAGTATTTATGGACATTCTTGGCTCTCTTGTGGTGTCGGTAGAGGAGACTCACCATGTAGAGGCTGGTGCAGAGCATGAGGGTGAAAAACATGAGATCTTGGGCTAATATGACACTTACATATAACGATGAATTCATTGTTTTCATCTGGCCAGTTTGACAATATGCATGAGAATATCCATGACCAACTAGAGAAAAATTGCCAATTGCTCTTACATGTGGAATAAAATTGATATAAACAATCAAATTACTGATCCAGAAGGTAAGCAAAGAAGGCATAATCATTGTAGAGTGTTTAGGCTTAAACCATGCTCACTTAGAATTAACAGAGGTGATAGTGATGGCTTGAAATGTACTCACAAGTGAGGTAGTAGAGATGGAAACACCCCAGGTAACTGTATGCATATAATATTACTTTACAACCAGCATCATTCAAAAAGTGTCTTACTCCAAAGGATGCCTTGATATATGGTACAAGTGTGACTATGATAGTCAAATTGTTCACCACTGTCAGATGAATCACAATGAAATCTATGGGCCTTGTTAGATGAGGTTGAGATAACAAGGTATATACCAATGCCATAAACAGTGAGGAGTTTGCAAGGACACCAATACAAACCTGTGATATGAGGAAAAAGCCAAAATATACTGCCCTGGGAAACATTTCATAAATGATATTTTCATAGCTGTATTAGATTAGCCAACCCTAAAATGAAAACTGAAGTATTTCATAAATTTTGTAAAAAAATTCTGCTTCTACAAAATAAAGAAATCATAAGAACCAAGGAAGTAGGGCTCATGAACATAGGAGAGGAATTAGTTGACATGGATTTAGGAAAGAAGGGAGGATGAAAATAAAATTGGTAAAAGATATGCCAATATCCAAAGGAGAAAGTAATTGTTATGTACTGCAAACATATAAGAAAAACACAGAATCTCAAAACGATGTCTATGGGGTATTACATGCAAAAATAGTTCAGGATTTGAGGAGATAATGGCATATCCAACTTCCCAAGCAGATGTGGCTCTATCAGTAACTGGATTCCACGGGATTCTTCAGAATCTTACAGCACAGAACTAGGTATTGTGGACAGAAAGGAAACAATGGACACACCCTCCATCCTACAAAACTGAAAGCAGGGCCTGATGGCCATGAGCCAGGCAAATTTGCCTGTTTTGAGGACTTTCTTTTCAGGGTGTTGAAATGTATTTCAACTGTAAACTCATTTCAAAATACTAAGCTCTCTAAAGAGAATTATATTTCTGACACATCAAAATAAAATGCACATTTCACTTTGTTTTCAATTTTGATTGACACCCAATGCTTCAGTAATCATTAAGTACTCAGTAATCATTAAATACTGATCTAAAAATGAAGTTCACAAGTGGATAGTTACCCACTCTCCTAACCCAAAGGAAGACCAGCAATGTTTTGAGACATATTTGTTTCTTACAATGCATTACAAAACTATTGACTTGCAGAGATTAGAGATAAAAATGCCTTGAAAATGTGCCACTGTGATAAATATTCCACAAGGCAACTGATATATAAGCAATTGACACTCACAACATGGATGATAAACTAAAACTAACAACTATTTTGATACCAAAAGTTGATTCACATTTTTGTCTGAACATTACATTGTGCTCTTGGTACAAAGAGATTTTAACTAGAGTTTTAAAAAAATCAGAAGGCAAAAAATAAATATTCTAATAATATTGACACTGAAAATTCTATGGTCAAAATTTCATCTCCTCATTGGATTTTGAATTAAATTTCTTCTGTATCATCCTTCCATGGAAGTACATGAAGATCCTTGCACCTGGAGGCAATGAAAAGGATAAAAGTGGTAAACTCACAAGTGTAGGGAGCAGAGCCCACCACTGCCACACCTGGTATCCCCAGAATATGTGTGCTTGATAAATAATTAAGAGGGAGCAAAACATCAGTGAACAAATAATCCACACATTTTCAGAAGTAGAAATCTTTTGACCTTTAACGACGTTGCTTTTCTAAAAAAAACTTTGAATGTGCCAGATTACCTGGCAGGAAAAATTGTTTTTATATTCACAAATGCTGTGGTCATGTCAAGCTGTATAGTATATATACTCATCTTCGTTTATAAATTAATTAGTGTAGTGAAAGCACGTTTCCAAACCTTTATGTGTAACTAACCCTAGAGAACACAAAATGGACAATAGATTCTATCACTGTGTCTTTGAGTTGTTCATTTATCTTAGGGCATCTTTACATTTTGTAGTTTACATTCGGTTGTATGAAATTTGTCCTAATTATATGATATTTAAAATATTTGTTAGATATCTAAAGGGAAAAAAATAATGTCATACCACCAAGATATAAGCTGTTTGGGCCAGAGTGAGAAGAAACAGAACGAATTAGAATAATAGCAGAAATAATATACCTTCATGGAAAAAGGGAGGATATGTCTTTTTATATTACAGCAGTCTAATTTTTTTGTTTACACATTCTAGATACTGAAAATACTCAGTAGCCACATATATGTGTATCCAATAGATGAGTGAAGATAAATTTTTTATTTATATACCATACTAAAGTGCCGTGCATGAGAAAAGATAAATGTGAGTGATTATAAGACATTAATGCACCTTGAGACCATAAAGTTAAGTGACATAAGAAAACCACATGCTTAAATACTGCTTATACGTAAGAATATCACAGTATAAAAAAGAGAAAAGTAAAATTAGATAAAGGAAGAAGGCATCTGGCTTTTTCTTAAATGCAAAAGGTATTATAATATTAGGGGAGGGCCAGGATTTATCTGAGTGGTGTAAGTACCTGCCTGGCAACTGCATGGTCATGAGTTCAATCCCTGGAACCAAACATAAAAGATGATACTAAGGTAGAGAAGATAAAATGACTTTAAGTTGTGCTGTGTGCCTAATTAAACACATATAGGAAGTGCAAACATGAGCTAAACAAAGAATTTAAAAAATAAAATATCTAGAAAAGGTAAGACAGATAAAAGTCTTTGGCAACTGTAAACAAATCAAAAGAGCTTGGAATAAAATAAATAAAATCAGAAATAAGGGAGGAGATATAGTGTTCCACTTGGAAGCATAGATATATAATTGAAACTACACAGAGAAGATTACCATGACCAGTGTACAAGAATGACAGGCAAATTCATAGGGTGTTCCTTATTTTTCACATAAAAGAGACATTAGAGTAAAGTATTTCATGTCCTATAAGAAAACAAGCTGCAACCAAGATTGATTAAAAAGAAAAAATTAACTTTCTAAGTCACTGGAAAATAAGACACTTCTATGAGAAAGAACAAATGAATAAATTCATGATAAGGAAGCCAACTCTCCAAAATGCAATGAGATAGTTTTACAAAGAGATGAGGGGGACCACAGGTCAAAGAGCACCAAAAGAAAGAATCCACCAGGTAGGCCAAGAAATTAAAACAATCTTATAAAAAAAAAGAAAAGAAAAGACTCAAATTCATACAGTTAGGAATGGAAAGATGATGTCTCCAATGGATTCTGTGGAATTCCAGAAAACCATTAGTGACAGATTTGAGAAATGCTTACTTTAATTTTACTATGAAGACATTGTGTCAAAAATTATGCTACTGACAACAAAATGGACCTTAGGATCAGATCAGACTAGAAGATGCAGAAAGGACTCCAACGGCACTCAACACCTCATATTTCTGAAAGATCTTGAAATATTCACTGATTATTTGAGAGATGCAAATCAACATAATGCTGAGAGTCTGTCTCACTCCAGAAAGAATGACTATTATCAAGAGGTCAAGAAATAACAAATACTGGAGGAGTCTTGGGGCAAAACTCACTTCTCCACCATTGGTAGGAGGGGACAGAGCTGCAAACACTAGCAAATTGATTGATATTCCTCAGAAAATACTAGGATTACAAGTCCCATTTACTCAGCTATTTTCTATTTTGCTTCTGGGTGTCAACCTGAGATAAGTAAAAACTTTGTAAACAGTGATATAATGCACATCCATGTTCATAACAGCACAGTTTGTAATAGCTACATCTTAGTAACAACCCAAATGCCTACAAACAGAGGAATGGATACAAAAGGTGTTAAATGGTAATGCAATGAATTTTCACTCTGCCATAAAGCAGGATAAATTCCAGGTTGTTTTGGAGTGCTTTCTTTATTTTGCTTGTTTGTTTATCTTTGACTAATTGATGCAACTAGTGACTATACTCATAAGCAAAGAAATCAATGTGACATTTGTAGACATCATTTGTTATCCATAGTCTAAGAAACCGACAGAGTAAATAAAATCCAACACCTAAAATAGATGTTCTGACATGGAAAGAAACCGTTCAACAGCAAACAACAACTGGGATGGATGAAAGAGAAAAGAAGGAAGAGAAAAGAAAGAATATATATATAAATATAAAAAAGCTAAGATAGTAATTGGACTTACTTATTCTAGTTCATTGAATAAAACTGTGCTTATACTGTTTGATCTATTATGCATGCCGATATCTAAAAATCTGAGCAAGTACTTTGAATTTAATAATATGCAGTATGTTAACCGTTGCTAATATTATTTTCCCTTGTATTGAAATTTTGTATCATTGTATTGTTTATTCCCTTTAAATTTAAAACAATACCTATTTGCATGTCTATAAAGAGAATTATCTGTCCAAAATATTTCTAACAATGAACCCAAAAATAGATGATCAAAGCACTGGAGGAAGACAATATCCAAAGACACTAGCGATTTAAACATTATAACCAGACTTCCGGGAGAACATGGAAGACAAATAACAGCAGCCACAGAGGCCCTCTGAGATTACCAGTTTAGAATCTAGGAGCAGTGCCGTGTGAGGAGTCCTACGTGAGAGGAGATGTACCTTGCTGACCCAGGAACAAAGTAAGCTGAGAGAGACCAACTGGAAATGCAATCCTGATGCTATAACAGGAACAGATAAAATCTCAGTGAGGAAGCTGGATCCTGTGCCGTTGGAAGCTGCGATTTGAATTTCCTGCTGCCTCTACTGCCTCCCAATCCGCGGCAGGGAGAGAGGCGCGTGAAAGCTCTGAGAGCGGGAATTGGCCCAAACGGCATTGAGAGCAGGACTGGCAGGGAGCCCTGCATTGACCTGCGGTGAGTGAGAGAAATGGGGACCATTTCATAGACTAGGAGGCTCCAACAGAGGACATTCTGGGAACCGGCAGACTAGCCGGAACACAGCCCTGCAGTGACTTTAGTCACATATTCCCCTCTCAAGCGGGAGTGGTGGGGAGCGCTTGGCCTGGTGACGCCGCGGACTAAGATCCTGTAGGCTAGCCCAAATCAGGTCCCTGTGCCTAGCGGTGCACCCTAACAGTGAAATATTCACTGACCTGGAGGGGTGGGCCCAGCAGAGGCTGCCCAGATCTGTGTCTCCCTAGTACACTGCAGTGGGCGGGAACACCTAGCTGGTGGGTTCAAACAAACTGCAACAGACAAAGAGATAAAAAAACTGAGCCTCATACATACACTTGTATGGAAGGAACAAAAAGTATGGGAAAAGGGAGCAACAAGAAAAGGTCAGTCCCCAATCCTGAGAACACTGATCCTGGAAAGGTAAATACAAAGGAGAATGAGGACAGAAAACATGCAATATCAAACACGGCACCTATAGATATAAAACGGTATCTCCGGAGCCTCATAGACAAGTTCAAAAATGAAGTATTTAATGAAATAAAGCAAGAAGTAAGTAGAATAGTTAGAGAAATGCTAAGCACTGCCCAAGAAAAAACAGATGGTGGAATGGAAGAACAGAAAAAAAGGGGAGAATTGTTTGATGGAGAAAATAGAGAAAACATAGAATATGTGAAGCAGGTTCACAGAGATTACCAGGAAACTAAAAACTCTATTGAAAGCTGGCATAATAGTTTGAAAGAAACTAAGGATAGATTATCAGAACTGGAGGACAGATTTGTAAGGTGGGAGCATGAAATGAAAAACTTTTTAAAAATAACAAGAAAACAAACAGCAATAATACAAAAACTAGAAGATGACAAGAGGATCTATAACTTAAGGATTAAGAACATAAAAGAAGAAGTAGGGACTCAAACAAATGAACTACAAAAACTATTCACAGAAATAATCCAGGAGAATTTCCCTAATTTAGCAAAAGGTAAAGATACTCAGATGTATGAGGCATACAGGACCCCAGCCACCTACAACCCAAACAGAACAACACCCAGGCATATAATAATCAAAATTCCAGAAATCCAATATAAGAACAGAATATTAAAAGCCATCAGAGACAAGAAACAGATCACTTACAAGGGAACACCCATCAGAATTACAGCAGACTTCTTGGCACAAACCATCAAATCACGAAGAGCGTGGGGGGAAATAATTCAAGCTTTGAAAGATAATAATCTTCAGCCAAGATTGATATATCCTGCAGAACTATCCTTGGAAATTGATGGAAAAACAAGGTGCTTCCAGGATAAAGAGGAACTAGGGGGAATTTGCAACCACCAATTCAACTCTACAGAGATTACTGCAGGATATTCTAAAAATGAAAAATACCAAGATCCCAGAAACAGTGGCAGAGTGCCCACAATGAATGGAGCAGAAAGTGAAATGAACAGGACAAATTGACAACTAGTGACAGAAAAAAAGCTCAACAGAAATGAGGCAGAGAAGGTTGGATGGTAGGAACAGCCATTTTGGAGAAAACAAGACGTCATAATAGGTAGTGCTGATTTAATATCCCCTTGTTTTGAAGTCCCATCAAGCTTTTGTTCTTCTGTCTCTATCGGTTTTAACGTGTTGTATCTTATTGGATTTTATTATATGTGATAATATAAACAAAAACTTTTATAGACAAGGAGATTATACAGAAACCATTGTTCATTTTCTGTTAGTTGATTCTAAATACCCTGTAATATTGTCATTCTCTTGAATGGTTTTACATTGTCTTGATATGTTTGATGCTACAGTGTACGAAGTTATACCCAAAGATTTTAAGGGAAGAGACACTATGGTAACTACTATTATGTCGAGATTATCTTGTGGTAAAACACTATTTTACTTAAATGGCTATGTTTTGACCTGTACTGTTTTGTTGTTATGCCCTATTTTTTATCTCAATCTCCTTTTTATTATCTAATTTTTCATTTTTATCCTTTTAATTAAGGGAAAAATAAATAAAAAATAGCAGGATATATTATAGTAACCCACTTTGATTTCCTATTAACTTTATTTGAAACTCTGTATTGCTCTCACCACCTTGTTTTGACTGATTTTCCCCTATTCTGTTATGGATAGTACCAAGTTTGAAAGTCTAGGCAACAACTATGAAGACAATAAGATCCATTGTGACGCCCATTCTGGTTGACTATTATCTTCTTTTGAAGTCCTCTAATGTTTCCAATGTTTTGGTTTTATTGGTCTTATTCTTTATTGTTTTGTTCAATTTTATTATAACTGATGATATAGGCAAATCTTTTTAAGATAACAAGAGGCATTATGGTAACCATTGTTGATCACCTTGTATTTTGTTTTTACATTGTGTATTATGTCCATCCTCTTGATTTGACTGACTCTGTCCTGGTATGTCACATTTGGTTTTACTTTCTTCAAAAAAATAGTAATAAGAACTGTGGGAGTAATAAAACCCAAAATGTGTAATTGTCATTATACAAAAGAAAGGAAAAGAAAGTTCTCTAAAAGATATAACTACATATATATTTAAGTGTATAAGATAGATAACCATATTACAGAGTTTTGTTGGATTACTGAACAAAACTGTTTGCAGTCTCACTGTTTGAAAGTTCCTTTTATATGCTTTAATTTTGTAACTTCAACTATTTCTAAGATGACAATATGTAATTAACTAGTGATTTCCTACTGTTTATTTTTTCTGAAATTCTGTATAACTTGTACCCTTTTCTGTTTTTTCCTTTTTTCTCCTTAAATAAAATTTAAAAAATTAAAAAAAAACATTATAACCATAAAATAGTATATATATAACTATTCCAACTGATGCATTATACATGATTAACAGAACATATATTGGAATGAATTTTATTAAGAAACAGAAAGTCATTTGTTGTTCTGACATGGTATCAAAAATTTAAGCAATGTATTACTTTTACTTAAGGATTGATAGATTTTCTTCATTTTGGAAAAATGATGCAAGCAAAGATACATGT